ACTTGCAGAATGTGCCCTTTGGAGATGTAAATTATTATATATGCCTGAGTGGATTTTTTTGTTGTTTTTTAAAAAAGCTAAAGTGGATAGAGAGAAATACTGTTAACTGATGGTACATGGAGGGGATTGTAATCCATGTAATGAGACAAGGTATATGATTTGTTTAATGTAAAACTGATGATACGCCCTGTAAACTTTCACTCAATCCACAATAAAAACCTTAAAAAAAAAAAAGTGAAGTGAGAGTTTAAGTTGATCATTTTCTCAGGAAAATTAACTAAGTCCTTCTTTCATGGATTAAGACACATACCGGAGCTGTTTGAAAAACATAAACATTTTTGAAGCACCTGTACCTCAAATAATAAACCTCAGAAATGGCATTTGATATGCAATGTATAAATATCACAACATGATCTTTGTTTTGGCATTTAAAACATTAATCATGTAGCCGAGAAATGTTTCTGCCAAAGGGAAGCAATAGTATATTAAAACAGCACTTTATAACTGGAATACTTGACACACGAAAATCAAAGAGTTTGAGATGACCAAAAAGGAGCATCTTGACTCTTCTATACTATCTGCCTTAAGTGCAGAGAAAGGGCGATTCTGCATCACTGCTCTATAGACCTTCCTATTAGCAGTATTGAGAAGTCTTTTCATATGCCAAGAAACATTATTTCCAACTAGTAAAATATTCTTTGATACCACATTACCCTGGGAAATAGGATTAACGTTTTCATCTAATTGTGGCTAATACAAAATAATACATACAAAGCATTTAGCAGAGTTTCTGGAACATACTAAGTGCTTAGTAAATTAGATAGCATCATCATCAAGAGCATTAATGAAGAATGACTACAATGGTGGTTTAAACAGTCACTCTACCTTCAAAAGTTCCAATGATTTTGGAGAGGGCAAATTATAATTAAATCTGTGGTAGTTTTACTAACATATAGTAAGGTGATTGTAATATACATAAATCTTCATGACTGTTTGACAGCCTGACTGATACGTTTATATTCTTTTAGTTATGCCCACACTGAAGCTAATCTATTAAGAAAATTATATGAAAATCCTTGAAGTAGAAAAAATATTTCCTACGAGTTCTGGTGTGGTGCTGTGGGCTAATGTGCCAGATTGCAAAGCCGTTTGAACTG